TTAAAATCCTTCTTTGGACATTAATGCTTAAAAATTACCTTCTCTAATACATTTGTCCGTTGTATATCATATATGGGATTACTTTTAAAAATGTGAAGTTTTTAATTTGACTGTGGAACGCCAACGGATTAGCCTCCCACGGCCAGGAATTAAAAGCTAAATTCAAACGAGATAAAGGTCCATACATAGTCTGTATACAGGAAACTCAATTCTCTACTAGATCTAAATTCACCCTACCAAACTATAACTCAATAAGAACTGACCGAGCCAAAACAAACCTAGGTAGAGCCGGAGGCGGCCTAATCATATACGTCAGGGAAGACTTAGGCTACAAAGAACTAAAAATAAACACACCAAACCTAGAAGCAAACGGTATTCAAAAAACAAATAACAACCCTAAAAGTTAATATCATAAATATATACCACTGGGTAGAAAAACAGGTCAAACCTGAGGATTTAAACACCCTCCTCCAAATAGGCAATAAATCTACAATCTTCCCTGGAGACTTTAATGCCCACCACCCTACCTGGGGTATAGAAGATAAAATAGATAAACACGGAAAACTCATCTCAGAATGGATAGAACAAAATGACCTAATACTTCTAAATAACAACCAACCTACTAGATACGACAAAATACACCACAAAATGTCGGCTATCGACTTAACCATATGCACCCCAGATTTAGCCTAAAGTATTCAATGGGAAGTGCACGGAGTACCACTAGGTAGTGACCACTTCCCCATAAATATAACCATAGGAGACGTAAACATCCCAACACCAACCCAAAACCAGGAATCTAAATTTCACTACAACAAAGCCGACTGGGACAAATTTCAGGAAATTTGCAACCAGGCTAACTTAGCTGACCTAGACAGTAACGACCCCGAAATCTGCTGTAAAAACCTAACTGACTATATAATAAACGCAGCTAAAAACTCCATTCCTTTCAAAACAACCAACATAGGCAAACCCTCGGTTCCTTGGTGGAACGAGGAGATAGAACAAACTAGACGTAAACGCAAATCCGCATTCAATAAAGCCAAACGTGACTTCAAACACCTAAAGATAGCACACGAACTAAATCACAAAGTACAAAGCTTAGTTAAAACAGCTAAAACTAGAGACTGGAAATGTTTTGGCGAAGAAATTAACCATCATACAGATGCCAGAACAGTTTGGTACAAATTCCACGCCATTAGGGGCATTAAACGTCATAAAAAAAACCTACTAACATAAACAATTCAACAAACCCCACTCAAAAAGCTAATAACCTAGCAAATCACTACTCGGCCATCAGTAGCAACAGCAACTTCAACCAAAAATTCCAGGAACAACTAAAATCAGAAACCAAATTTACCAAAGAGCCAAAAGATAATAATCTAGAAATTAATCTCAATTTCATAATGGGAGAACTACTCCACGTCCTACACAATAGGCAAAAGGGCACAGCCCCAGGCTTAGACCTTACTTCATACCAGATAATTAAACAACTACCACCCAAACTACTCCAAACTGTTCTAAAACATCTTTAACCTCATATATCTAAACGGACAGGTCCCATCACCTTGTAAACAAGCCCTGGTCATACCAATCCCAAAACCCAATAAACCAGCTGACCAGGCTAATTCATACAGACCAATCTCCCTAACTTCTAACTTATGCAAAGTAATGGAATCAATGGCAAAAAAACAGGCTACAACACTACTTAGAACAAAACAACATAATAAATCCAGACCAAAGCGGTGGTTTCACTCCTGGACGCTCAACCTTAGATAACCTCGCCCGACTAGAGCAGGACATTAAAACAGGCCAACTTAACAAACAGTATACTACAGGCCTCTTTCTAGACTTCTCCAAAGCATTCGACATGGTTTGGCATAACGGGCTAATACAAAAATTAGTCAAATAATTAACTACATCCAAAGTTTCCTAACAATCCGCAAAATAACCGTGGGCATAGACCATATCGGACCAATGTGCCCTAGAAAATGGCACTCCCCAGAGCAGCATCCTAATCCCCACACTCTTTAATATTATGATTAACGATCTATTCGAGGGACCCCAAAATAAACACATCAAAATTCGCGGATGATGGAGCCCTCTGGATCCACACTAAAAGCATTAAAATGGCCCAAAACTTACTACAAAAATCTCTAAATAAAATACAAAAATGGGCTGATAAATGGGGCTTCTCCCTAAACTCAGAAAAAACCCCTCAGGAATAGTATTTAAAAACAAAAATATGCAAACCGCCTCCATAAACCTCCAACTAAACAACAAACCAATCAAATTTTAAAAAAACAAACCAAATTCTTAGGATTAATCTTCGATGAACATCTCACCTGGGATGCTCACATTAAAAACCTACTATAACCAGATGCAGCAAAGACCTAAACACGTTAAGATGCCTAACCGGCTCCAACTGGGGGGCCTCCAAAAACACCCCCCTCTCACTCTATATATCACTAATTAGATCCAAACTAGACTATGGCAGTGCCATTTACGACACCCTAAACAACTCTCTCATTAGAAAACTAGACTCAATCCAGTATCAGGCCCTAAAACTAATCACACGAACTCAACATGGCACCTCCTCCACCTCACTCCAGGCCTTAACAGGAGAAATGCCACTTAAACTATGTAGGGAACAACTTACCCTAAACTTCTGGGCCGCGTCCCAATCAAACCCTCTAATCGAAGACTTAATAAAAAACAATATTAGCCCTAGAAACCAAGTCCTAGCCCGGAAATCCGCTACTTACTCCAATTTTCCAAAGAATAACCAATTACCTAAATGAACACAAAATAAATAATCTTAAACAAAACAAAATATCACTCCAAAACTTAAAATACCAAAAATAGACACAACACTAGCCGATACACTAAATAAACAGACCAACCCTAACATCGTTAAAACCACCACACTAGCATACATACACGACAATTGGCCAAACTGGTGTCACATATACACAGACGGATCCTCAGATCCGATCTCAAAACAGACGGATCCTCAGATCCGATCTCAAAACACACAGGTTTCGGATTCAACATCGCACAACCAACCAAAAACACACAATCTTACCGACTCCCAAACAACCAATCCATATTCACGGCCGAACTCATGGGCATGGCCTCAGCACTACACAATCAGCAATCTAACAAACACCAAAAAATCCTCATCCTAACCGACTCCCTCAGTGGACTACAAAACCTCAATAATAAAAACACTAAAAACCGCCCCAAACTAAATTCATTTGGATCCCCGCCCACGTAGGAATCTTTGGAAATGAAAACGCAGATAAAGCAGCAAAATTATCCCTTAAACTCCCAGAAATAAGCTTAAACTTACCCAGCTCAAAATCAGAAATCAAAAGTGTAACTAAACAAAAAATCAACAAAAAACGGCAAAATATAAATCAAAACTCAAATAGCCAAATCAGGAAAGTACTAAATAAAACCCTAACTAAACCAAAAATACTACACCCATCCAAAAACATTGACAGAATAATTACTAAACTACAAACATCAAACTAAATAATCACCGTAAAATAGCTAATCTACACACAACAGGAAACTGCCCACATTGCAAACAACAAGAAACACCAGAACACGTACTCATTCACTGCACACACTACCAAACACACCGACCAACACTAGAGACCACCCTAAATCTTAAAACCGATCTTACACTAGAATCAATCCTAAATCCACAAAATAAATTAGAAATATTCAAAGCCTTAGGCATATACCTAATTAAAACAGGACTAATTAGTCGCATTTAAACCCCAATAAAATATTAAAACCAAAACTACCTAATCTAACAACCACCCAACACACACAGCTCCCTTAGTTCGTCCTCCACCCACTCTTGGCATTCATTCCAAATCTCAAAATTTCAAAATGACTATATAAGCAACCCCTAAAGCCCCCCTCCTGGGTTGCACAAACTCACTTTTCCCCTTTTCGGAAACACATTAAATGGCCTGGCCTGGCCCGTGTGCGACATACGCTTGCAGTTGGAAAGCGCACGTTAAATCTCCAATATAAGTAAGTAAGCACTATCCATCACTTGCTTGATAAAGGTGTTAGGATCTACACCGAAACGTCGCACTAGTTGTAATAAAGAAGTTGTTCATCCATAGAACTTGTCTTACTTCATCACACCAACTTCTAAATGCCACTGAACGAAGTTACAATCAACGTAGTCGCCACTTACGATTAGGATAGGTATGCTGGGTCCAATTCTAACCCCAAAGGGAGTTCCGGACCAAGAGGTCCAAAACTGAGGGGGTTTCAGGACTAACAGGCCCAGACTAATGGGTTTCGGACCAACAGGCCCACTGAGGGGTTTTCAGGACTAGCAGGTCCAAACTAAAGGGATTTCCAGTCTAACAGGTATAGACTAAGAGTTTTTCAGGAACAACAGTTCCGAACTAAAGGGGGTACCGGACAAACAGGTCCAGAGAAAGGGGGATGTCGGAATAACACGTCCAGGCAAAGTGGGTTCCGGACAAACACGTCCAGACTAAGGGGTTTCCCGGGCTGGCGGGTCCAGACTAAAGGCGTTTTCTGACTAACGGGGGCGGCGGGGTAGCATGGTGGTTAAGGCGTTCGCTCGTTACGCCGAAGACACGGGTTCGATTCCCCACGATGGTACAATGTGTGAAGCAAGCCCATTTCTTGTGCCCATACCCCCCCCCCCCCCCCCCCCCCCCCCCCCCCGCCGTGATATTGCCCGAATAATGCTAAAAGCGGTGTAAAATCAAACTCACTAACTACTGTCAGTACATTTGAAATAACGCGCATGCAAATTCAACATGTCAGAACTAAATGTTGAGAAGTGTTTGTGTGCATTGTTTCCATTTGGATGGGAAGCCATGATCGCATCTCATTTAACTGTGTCTAAAACTGAGTATTCCCCTGTTTCATTACCATCAGTATAAATAGAGGGGTTGACATGTACACGCACTTGCATCTACGTCCACACCAACACTCACCTTGTAATGTTGGAATGCCATTTTGTAGATCCTTTAACAAAGTTAAATACACGACTATATATACCTCCCTATATACTGACGACAGGCGAGTTGTCCTTTGCGATCCCGTGCAAAGCTGATGTGATCGACATATTTTTTGACACATCTATATCCAGCTAAACCAACACATCTGCGTCTGCTTCGCCCCACATGGTTTATTTTTACTGCTGTGTTTGATTGAACGATGATCAATTCTCACTCGTCGTTTATTTCTTATATAAAATATCAACATTTTGTGCAGCCTTTTTAAGGATGTCAATAACATGTTGAAGCTTTAAAATCATTTACCCGTATTTAATTAAGGATTGAAGTTGTATTTGTTGACGTTCATCAGCTGATGAAGACAGTGCCTCACGCATCATGGAATTTGCTTACGTGAGGCACTGTCTTCATCAGCTGATGAACGTCACCAAATACAGCTTCAGACATGATATTGACAGATACATAAATCACAACAAAGCAATCCATTAAACATCAAACTTTAATTATTTAAAGCGAACTATATCAATGCAGAGGGTCGTGACGTCACCCGTTCCTGTGTCAGGATCCAGCTGAGTCCTGACTTTCTCTAGAATTGGTTTGAAGAGGGGTCCATTTCCAAAGTAGCTAATATATCTCATAACTTTCACAAGCCTTTTAAGGAAAGTAGCACTGCAAACACGAAAACGTCGTTTTTTCCGTATATGGTCATTGGACGGAAAAGGACTAAAAATTCATTAAAATTGATTAATTGGTGAGCGTCTAGAAAGTGTCCGGAAAAGGGTCGAGTTTTTCAAGCGTAAAATGGACGGAAAAACGATGCTTTTTGCTCCGCCTTGTACAACTGTTAACGGCCAATGAGATGGCGCTGGTCCCCCGACGCACGTGATGCCTAAGGCTTCCATTCGGAAGCATTAGGTTTCATATTTCTGGCATGCCTTGCTCTAGTATCTGTCGCGCGCAGTGCAGCGAGATTTGCTGATAAGCCAGTTTTAGGATATTTAGCATGTTAATGGAATTACAGACACGTGCCAAGAAGTCAAACCAAACCATGCTACCAAGTTTATTGTGATAACATAGCCCTCCGCTATGCACAGTTACCTCTATCGGATAATGGGTTGTGTTTCATTTGGTTATAACAGTAACTAATTTTGTAATGTGAAGTTTACAAGATATACGGCTTTTCCATTGGACGAGAGGTCGGTCACATGACGTTTTTCACGTGACTGTATTCTTGAAATGACGTAAACACTCAGTCTGACTACTCCCACATTCCTGGGGAAAACCCTGGGAATTCCCTGGTACGAATTCATACAGACGCGTTGTTTCTCATTAATAAGACCCTTTAATTTTGAACTTAGCGTCTTAGCTTACTCTGGGATAAGTCAGAGAGTTTGGTTGCATGCCCGTTCAAGGATACCCTCGCTACAACCCATCTTAGATGAAAATTACACGAAAAAAAACGGGAAAAAATCCAAACTATCGTAGTGACAATCTACAGCAATCTATTAATTTACCTCAGAATCTATTTGACACATTTTTACAATCACCTTTCAATGGTCGGCCAATTGATCAGTGATGACAAAGGCTTGAAACAGCCACAGGTTAATTAACAACTTCGGAAATATCTCCCGTCACGTTTATCGTGTCGGCCATTTTGACGTATTGTACTTGATGTAAATGTATTACGACGCTCTGTCATTGAAATTGACTAACTGAGGTAATTCTTTAACAGATCTTCTCATCTAATGAGGATATTGTTTGGAATACATTTGTTCAGATGATACATTTGATACAGATGTTCCTCGCTTTTGGGGGAACTATTTTATCCGGGATGACCTATTAAAGCTGGTAGTAAGTCAAGGCACCATGCGTGTATATGATCTGTTATTATATGTGTTTAAATTACGGTTCGGGGCGTTAATAAAATACACTGACGCAAGTATTTTCTAATCAAATCAATTGGTTTATTGAATATGCTTTCTTTTACATATTACATAACATCACTACACAAAATGTTGACAGTTGCAGTAACACACTAAGGGGATCGCATTAAACACCACTTTGAACAGTATTTCAGTTATATCACGGTGTATCAGACTGATGTGGGATAAAAATCCGAAGTCGTTCAGGCCATCCAATGGGTGTTCGGTAAAAGGTGAGCGTATCCTGCCACGTAAGTGGCACCCGTCACAAACACATGCAAGCCCAAGTCAATTGTTCACCTGAACAAAGCACGGAAACACGTAAATGATGCCCGTCCTCACTTTTACCGACCATGTAAATTATATTGTCCGTCAAAAACATGGACGAGTATAAACAATATGTTCCTTCAGGTAATACATGTCATACATTTGACAAAATGTATAAACTCAGAGCATAATTGTTAATCACAGCGTATAGACTTGGCATGCAGTTGAACTCATCACCCATCCCATTATTGATAATCCTTCTTGAAGATCTATGAAATCAGAAGCTGCAATAGCGCGTTTTTACACTTTATCTTTTAATTGGCATGTTAGACTTCAGACTTAGACTCAGTTTTATTTTTTTCAGTTGGCGTATTGTCGCATTGACGCCCTTACAAAAACAAGAAAAATGTGTCAAAATTAACAAAAGCACGACAATTCGACAACGCGACAGTTTGGCCATTTGTCGCATTGTCACGTGGTTGCAATGTCGCTCTTTGAATAATCGTTTTCTTTATTTTACAAAAGGGCGACGATGCCGTAACGCGACATTTTCAAGGTCAAAATATGTCTCGTTGTCGCATTGTCGCCCCATCACAAATGTGTATAAAAGGCGTAAAGTTCAGTTAATGTTACAGTTAGGAGGCGGTAACCAAGTTATATCTGTCGTAGAAGTTCAACCTGATACATGTAAGTCTTGAAATGAAAACACAAGTCCGTCCGCGAGTCAATAACGTTTTATTGTGAGCTCTTCTCTACAAGTGCTTAGTGTTTAACTCCCAGTTCCAAACACGTAGTACCTCATCAACAATCCACGTACCGCTAGTGCAGTGATCGTCCGGAAGATCTTACTCTTGACCGTATCATACAACTGACGGGTGCACGCCTGACCTGTGACCTCGTTACAACCCCCATGAGGTGTTTGCCGAAGGGAGAGGGGTAGGAAATGTGTGCTCAAGCCCAGCGCAGAGCTCGCGACACACTGTATATTGCATATTGTTTACAGTATATTGCAGTTGATATACTGCATACTGGATGTGATACTTATTTGCGGAAAAGTTACAACTTTCAAGATTCAAGATTCAATTTGCATCAATTTCTTATACAACAACCGCCGTCATATATCACTGGAATACTGCTGAGAGCGGCGTTAAAACAATTTGTTTTCATATGGAATGCTGCAGTCATTTAAAATAGAACTGTATACTTATGTAGTACCAACTTACTCACTCTGTTTCGAATATTCAGCAGAAAATATATTATTAACCAGGTCCATGGGAGAGATAGCAGATCAAACCCCTCACTGATTAGGTTCTTGATTGCTTAAGAACAGAGTTGGCCTTGTTAGATGATATAACCAAAATCCAGGAGCTCCGGTGGGGGGCAAACTGGTCATGTTATTGTGTGGCATGAGCTGTGACGTAGACCCAAGAGAATAATGTAAAAACTCAACTCAGCTCAAGTCTATAATGATTGGGAAAGTCTAGATTTCCACAGCTCTTGCCTGAAATTAAGAATTGTTGACTGTGCTCGTTCCTAATTGTATTATTTTCATTTTGTAGACATGGATAGACCAATCAGGAAAGAAGTTGATGGAATATTAATATCACATGTTACCACTGATCCAGTTAAATTCATCACACAATAATATATTAGTATTTGATATTACGGTATTTGATTATGAGGGCATGATCATGTACATGTTCATTGTAGTAATGTACATACTAGTCAACTTGATTGTATTTTTTTGATATAGTGTAGCGCGGCATAAACGATAACTATATGATATCCTCACTTGACATCGATGCATTGACATCGAACAATGGACGACAATTCGAAATTCTTATTTGAGCTATAAATAGCTTCAATAGGGACAGTGCCGGTGTCAGTAAATGTTTCGTAGTTAAAAATATGTATCTACAAAATACAATCTGAAGCAGCCAAGAACAATACTTTTTATTAATGCTTACTTCCATGAATAGAATTGAGGCAATCTAGGCTTGACAAATCGTTCTAGACTTGAGCGGGATTCCTTTTAAATTTATTCTCTATGGTCTGGGGGACGTACAAGGGCGTCATTATCGCATGGAGAACTGGGTCAGTGTAATCGGATATGTTGTTGAGTTTCGGGTTTGGGCTGTTTGCTGAATAGAACAAGGGCTCACGAATAAGGGCACAATGTAGAGATTAAATCATTACCGCCTCTGTTTATATCAGATATGTTATTGTGATTTGAAATCTCTTGCGAGTTATTGTATACTCTGTATTCTTTCGTCATGGTAGAATATGTATTTTCTATGTTGGTTTTTTAATTATCCACAAATAATGAGAACTACAATGTAAACCTCTCTCTGGAGATATACAATAATACTACTGAAGGGCATATCTGAAAAATGGGACTAATCGACTAAATACTGTCCGTTACAGGCATTCTAATCATTATATTATACTTTGTATAGTTTAAAAGTTAAATATGGCAAATTGTGTATCTTACTACATTTTGAATTCATCATAATTTCTGCAATAAAACCTTTACATCAGGAAGTGATATAAACGAATATGATCTATACTGTGATAAATGAATTATAAATTTCGTATTATGAATATGAAACTAAAATATGATAGTAAGAACAAATTATTTTAATCTGTTCGTGTGAGTCGGTAACGAGAGATCTAGGCAACTAACTAACGTAACCATTAGTGAAAAATCAAATATTCAAAGTTTAGGGGTTTAAACGTTTACATGTACATTGAATGACAGACAAGAAAGCAACGCAATAATTAACTTGGGAATCAAATTATGTTATAGATATAACATAATATATAGAAAATATAAGTTTAATTTCTCATTGTTGGAAGGTGTTTAATAATAGTTTTTGTTTGATTGTTTGTTGTTAAACGCCGCACTCAGCAATATACCAGCTCTATGATGGTGGTTCGTAAATAATCCAATCTGGACCAGACAATCCAGTTATTGTCATCAA